TCTAGAAAATCATCATAACTGGAAATCTTGAAAACATCCCAGTTCCTCACTTCCTCTGCACAGACCCTTTAGACCACAGCCCAGCACTCATAAGCCCATAATAGTGATCCTGCTTTTCTTACATTTAAGTCTGAACACATTTGTTAGAAAGGAGAATCTTCTCACTCTATAAATGTGGGTTACCAAGGTAACCCAGATAATTCTGCACATTGTCCCTGCCTTAATAGTGGAAGTCTGAACACCAAACTGTCATATGATAAAACCATGGTATTAATAGCTAACACTGGCAAAACTGCAGAGTAGTGATCAGCAGCAAAATTCAGCATTTCAGAGATCCAAATTCCAGACACCTGGAAAATGACAACTTGGCAACGAACAAAAAAAGAAGTAGCTCTCTGGAAACTGGGAAAGAATTGACAGGAAAATTAGAAGCTATAGAGAACTTGGAGAAATGGATCAAGAAGAGAAGGAAGTATTTTGGAAGCTTACTCCAGCTCCCAAAGAAAGGACTCTTGTAGACACAAAGTAAGTTCCAGGGTTGAGAGTTTGAGGGGAAATAACAGACCAGTCAGCAGCACACTGGCCCAAAGAAATGCCACAGCTTCTGTAAACTGCAAAAACAGCATAGGGATTTACTCCAAAGTGATTCCTTCCACATAGAAGGGAATAGTTAAGAGAAAGAATCCAGTGTAGTACCCACTATCGTGGGTTATTTAATCAAGCACCATCCCTGAAAATGACTAATTTTTTTTTTAGACTGAGATTCAGAACAACCAAAACCAAATTCACTTTAGAATTCTCAATATAACCCACCCATACTGACTTGGTGGGTTTAGGTCCTTCCACAGACAACCCAAAGAGAGAGACAGACACAGGAGACAACTGCAGAGAGGGTACAGACTAGACATACACCCATGGAGTTTAAACTTCAGTTGAGAAGGATAGGTGGTAAGCATCCAGGTCCAGCTTGTATGACTCTCAGAAGAACAGCTAGATCTAGCAAAGGATCCTCACTGGAAACAGGTTCTCTAAAATGAAAGGGCAAGTGTTCAAACTTCTACAAGTTAGGCCTCTCCTATCAAGTGCAATTTTGAAATACTATACCCAGCACACACCAGATGTCTCAGTGATTTCCCCATCTACCAAAGTGATCAAGGACATCCTTTGGCTGAAACATTTGCCACAATTTTTGGTAAACAGACAGAAGGGCTCCTGGAACCAGGGTAGGGGTGGGGTGGCTCACAAACCCACAGGCCATAAAATAGGCAGAGAAAACTGTGACTTGCTAGATTCTCAAAACTGTGGACCATGGAAAGAATATACCTATTAGATGACACAAAGAAGATTCATCTAACATTAACTGGAATTACTGCAAAAGCAGAAGACAGTACAAATGGCATTAAAAACCCTATTTACAGAAGTAATAGCAAAAAACTTTAGACATATGGGGAAAGAACTTAACAAATAAATGAGGCATACAGAATCTGAAATAGCCATGATCAGAAAATAACCTGTCCAGAACACATCATAGTTAAAATCCTGCAAGTCCAACACAAGCAATAAATAAATTACTAAGAAAACTCCATTTAAAAAAATCCTACCAACTAAGAAAAGACCTGATGGACACAATGCTGAATTCTACAAGCATTTCTGGAAAGATCTAACATCATTACTCAAGGGAAGGGTACTCTCAAAGTCATTCTTGGAAGCTAGCATTGTCCTGATTCCAAAAGGAGAAACAACTCAACCAAGAAAGAGAACTAACGACCAGTATCTTTAATGAACATAGACACAAAATTCCTCAAGATACTGAAACAATGCGATGAGTCATCAAAATGGATGTATATCATGACCAAGGAGGCATCGTCCCTGGGACGCATGGTTTCAACATATGCAAATGAGTAAATGTGATCTATCACAGATACAGAAACTGGGATTAAAACCACATATCATCTCAATAGATGCAGAAAAAGCCTTTGATAAAATCCAATATTCTTTCACGATTAAAGAAAAACAATGAAGAAAATAAATATGGTAGGACCTTATCTCAATCTAATAAAAGCGATGTAAGACAAACCTAGTATCAACATCATATTAAATGGGGAAAACTTGAAATCTTTCTCTTTAAAATCAAGAACAGGACAAGGATGTCCACTATCACCACTCCTGCACAATATAGTACTCAAAACAACCACAATAGTCAAGCAAGAGAAAGAAATAAAAGGCACATGTATAGGAAAGGAAGTTAAATTATCACTATTTGCAGATAACATGATCCTCTACATTGAAGACCCAAAAAATTCTACCAGACCCCAATAATTAATAATTAAATTCAATAATGTATCAGGTTACAAAATCAGCACCCCTCAAAAATCAATAGCATTCCTGTATAGCAATAAAGAACTCACACAGAAAGAAATTAGGAAAATACCACTAACAATAGCATCAAAATGAACTAAATACTTAGGAGTTGACCTAAATAAGGAAGTGAAAGGCATCTGCAACAAAAAATCCTTAAAAAGGATGTCCTCCTGAAGAGGACATAGAAAATGAAAAGATGGGGCTGGGGATTTAGCTCAGCGGCAAGCGCCTGCCTGGCAAGTACAAGGTCGTGAGTTCGGTTCCCGGTACCGGAGAAAAACCAAAAAAAAAAAAAAAAAAAAAAAAAAAA